GCTTGACCTTACCTACTTGACCCAGCAACCGTTTTTGCTCTCCACGTTTCGTTGTCGGTTTCATGTTTCATCTTTTCGTTCGGACAAAAACACTTTAGACTGGGTTGCTCCGGCTGCCCTAAGGAAGAGCGGAACAGAAAAGGCGAAGTGTGATCCCGATGCATTCAGCAGTAGCGGCAGCAGCAGCGGTGGCGACGGTGGTAAGTACCACTTTGTTTGGAGCTTCTACAAGAGGTTTGGCTTCAAGCCATTATCTGACGCATATATCTGCTGCAATTCAATAATCTTTTTAAAATGCCATGTATCGGTGAAACGAAATCAGTATAGCTGTCCATGTTGGAGCACGAGTTTTAAAATGCGCCGAAGATGCGCCTTTGGGACTCAAGAAGACCTTAATTATCCACCCAAATGTTTAGTATTGTGCGAACTATGATCTACCCGAGCCAGCATATTTTACAGCCAACCTCCACTTAAAACCTTTTTGCTCGCCCGCGAAAACGCCGGATAGTCGGCAGCTAAGCTAATAGGGAAAGTCGTTTTCCCGGAACTCTACGCGAAGCCATCCTTCTGAAGTGATTACACTTTCAGTCCTCCTAGATTTTCATTACGATTAGTCTTACTGTGGGCCCTGTTTACAACAGATTCTACTAACGGGTTTGTAGAACTTAGCAGACGCTGAGTATTTTGCTCTGCTCTACTATTCAAACAAAAGTTGTGCTTGCATTTCTGAATTAGAGGAACCTTTGGTCTTCCTCAGAATCACCTAAATACTATCCTTTTCTGCCAAAACCACTTGAAGAGGTTCGCTTGTCTATACTTTTTACCCAACCTTTACGGAAGATCTGATTGTGATGACTAAATTTTGTCGTCAGCAATTTATTTTTATGGTTTTTTAAGCTACTTAGGAATTATCAAAGTGCACGTTTGTTTCTTTCAGAAAAGGTCGGAAGACCCAAAAAATTCAAGTGTTTGTCCTGCCCAAAATCCTTTTCCTCCGCTTCTCACTTGAAATCCCACGTCAGTCTGCTTCATATGGGTAAGTCCCCATTAAAGGGTCGCTTATACCCATATACTTGCTACTAAGTTCAGTCGGGTCACACTAAGGTGCCCCACAGGCCTACAATGTCTTCGTCCTCCGCAGAAAGTCAGCTGCAAGGTATACTTTTGTCCGAAGTCAGTGCATTTTGCGCTGGCCTTATTATCCCTGGCAGTCAAAAATTCAATATTTTTGAATCTGTTTACGCGAATTTCAGAGGGAGTCTGCAATTCATTGCGCGTATTTCCCGTGAAAGCCGTAGAATTGGAAACAGTGATCTTTAAAGAGGATTGTGGGCAAAACTTTTTTGTAGGGTCCCCTGAATACCTATTCTACCCACCCAACTCTCTAACATATTTTTTGGTCAAACATGTAATTCTTGGCTAGTGAGTGTAAATTCATATTTAATTGTGGTAAAAGTGATCAAAAAATATTAAATTAAATAAACTTTTATTTTTTTCAATGTACTAAATTGAATTAAATCCATCAATATAAACTCCTGTTGCTCAGGATACTGATGCCATTTGAGGGGAATTCTACCTTATCTTGTCGGGATTTAACGAAAAATGGAGATTCGAACTCATCTTGGCGGAATTTAACGAAAAAGAATGGAAAGTCGGGTTACTGAAAATGTAACAGTAGGTTATGGTTATAAGTCAAAGGCAAAAAGGACCTCTAAAGACAGTCCTGCCGGATTATGCATCTAGTATTCTTACTGGCCAGTGTATCTGAATTCCTGTGTTCGCGTATCATTTGACTCAGTATCCCGTCGTAACACGTACGTCAATTTCCATTGTCAACAACAATTGGTATAGTACGGTATTATTAATAAATAGTGAAGAATAAACCCTATACAAACCTCAACGGGAGATAAACGTAGTCAATAACAAGGAAATTGGCCAAATCGAATGCCTCACTCTAGACATATAAAAGACGTGTGTTCGATAACGTCACATGTGTGCAGGAGAACCGTTTAACAAAACAAGCGCGTCGGCATGTCCAAGGTCAGTCGATGTGAATAGACAAAAACGAGAAGGGAACAATATGCAGGTAGGTCAGACAGAATTTCACAGCAGATGGACGTGGAGAATTCCAAAATTGTTTAACCGAAGATACTATCCGGCTTGGTTT